CCACACCTATTACCATCATTAGGGGAAAAAACGGTGATCCAATCTCCGACCCTGAGGAACAGATTTGCAGATTTGCTGAGCATTTCTGTGAAGTCCTGGGAAAGGGGAAATGCCTTGGCATGGAAAACATCGCGGGACAAACTGGGGATGATCCTGCTGAGGCCTCGGAAGAAGAAGTCACCCCCTGTGAGTGGCTAGCTGAGGTGCCAGCTGTTGAGGAAGTCCTGAAGGCGATCTGGAGTCTGAGACCAGGAAAGGCACCGGGCAGAGATGATCTCCCAAGCGAAATGCTGAGGGAGGGTGGCGTTTGTGCACAGACTGCCCTATATGACATCATAACGACAGTCTGGACCACTGGACGGGTTCCGCAGGACTGGAAGGATGCCCTGGTGGTCCCCCTCTTTAAGAAGGGGGACTGCACAGACTGTAACAACTACAGGGGCATCTCACTCCTCAGATTGCCGGGCAAGGTCTGGGCAAGGATTATTTACTCCTCAGTGTGCACAGACGCCATTTTTTCTGTCCGTCTGCTACAGCAGAGGTGTAGAGAATTCCATCAAGACCTACATGTCTGCTTTATTGATCTGGTGAAGCCCTATGATACCATCAGTAGGCCTGGGCTCTGGGTTGTTCTTCGTGCTTTCGGAGTCCCTGACCCTCTGCTCACGATCATTAAGGACCTTCATGATGTTGAGTGGGCCCGGGTAAAACTACGTGGCCGGGAGTCGGAGCCATTTCCTGTTCACCTTGGGATGCGACAGGGATGTCCTCTGGTTCCTACATTATTTAAAATCTTTTTTGACCACGTAGTTAGTGAAGCCTTGATGGCTGTACCGGGCGAATTTCCATCTGGTACAGATACATTGGGATGCTGATCGATGCCCGGGTGCGGTCAAGGGATGGCTCCCTGTTGGTCAACCACGTTATGTATGCCAATGATCTGGTAATTGCTGCTCACTGAGAGGAGGAGTTGGAGGTGCTGTTGCTGAGACTGGAGCGTGCCACTAAGAGGTGTGGGGCCTTACCATCAGCCCCACCAAAACTAAGCACCTGCCTGGGTATTTTGTACCATCAGACACTCCACCCCCACAGCTCCCAATTGGCGATGAGGCAGTTGTGCAGAGAGTGGAGAGTTTCCAATAGCTGGGCAGTGTGCTCATCACCGTCTCCGGTTTGACAGCAGACGTCTCCGAGGCAGTCCACCTGGAGATTGAGGCAGTCAGCCTGGAGCTCGAGGCAGTCAGCCTGGAGCTCGAGACAGTCAGCCTTGAGCTCCAGTCAGTCAGCCTGGAGCTCCAGTCAGTCAGCCTGGAGCTCCAGTCAGCCTGAAGCTCCAGTCAGTCAGCCTGGAGCTCCAGTCAGTCAGCCTGGAGCTCGAGGCAGTCCACCTGGAGCTCGAGGCAGTCAGCCTGGAGCTCGAGGTAGTCAGCCTGGAGCTCGAGGTAGTCAGCCTGGAGCTCGAGGCAGTTAGCCTAGAGCTCAAAGTAGTCAGCCTGGAGCTCGAGACAGTCAGCCTGGAGCTCAAAGCAGTCAGCCTGGAGCTTGAGGCAGTCAGCCTGGAGCTCAAAGCAGTCAGCCTGGAGCTCCAGTCAGCCTGGAGCTCAAAGCAGTCAGCCTGGCGCTCCAGTCAGTCAGCCTGGAGCTCGAGACAGTCAGCCTGGAGCTCCAGTCAGCCTGGAGCTCGAGGCAGTCTGGAGTTCGAGGCAGTCAGCCTGGAGCTCCAGTCAGCCTGGAGCTCGAGGCAGTCAGCCTGGAGCTCCAGTCAGTCAGCCTGGAGCTCGAGGCAGTCAGCCTGCAGCTCGAGACAGTCCACCTGGAGATCGAGGCAGTCAGCCTGGAGCTCGAGGGAGGCAGCCTGGAGCTCGAGGCAGCCTGGAGCTACAGTCAGCCTGGAGCTCGAGGCAGTCAGCCTGGAGCTCGAGGCAGTCAGCCTGGAGCTCGAGGGAGGCAGCCTGGAGCTCGAGGCAGCCTGGAGCTCGAGGCAGCCTGGAGCTCGAGGCAGTCAGCCTGGAGCTCCAGTCAGCCTGGAGCTCGAGGCAGTCAGCCTGGAGCTCGAGGGAGGCAGCCTGGAGCTCGAGGCAGCCTGGAGCTCGAGGCAGCCTGGAGCTCGAGGCAGCCTGGAGCTCGAGGCAGCCTGGAGCTCGAGGCAGTCAGCCTGGAGCTCCAGTCAGCCTGGAGCTCGAGGGAGGCAGCCTGGAGCTCCAGGCAGCCTGGAGCTCAGCGCCTCTAGCTGGGAAGAGGACAAGTGGACACCACTGCTGCAGTAGTAATCATGCTGCTTCTGCAGTAGTAATGCTGCTGCAGCAGTAGTAATTATGCTGCTTCTGCAGTAGTAATGCTGCGGCATAAGTAGTAATCATACAGCTGCTGCTGCAACAGCGGTAATGCTGCTGTTGCTAATTTTGCAAGGAAAAAAATCTCGAAAAGTTCATCTCCGGTGTTAATTTATTTAACGTTATGAACAAAAACCGATTGACATTGTCACGACTCTCCCTCTTTAAAAAAACGCTGTGCCAATCCTTGCGATATAAAAATATTTAATTATATATCTTGGTTTAAGATTACTTTTTATCATACAATCAACAAAAACATGGCCTATGGGATAACATGGCCCCTGTGGGAGGGTGAGTCGGCCCTGGGCTCAGTGCCACCTGAGGCCACCACCACCCATGGAGGGGACCCCCTCGGCACCCGCGGCTCGCTGCCTCCTCTTGGGGGCCGCGCGTGGGGCGCGATTCGCCGCGACCCCTTGGCGCGGGGCGCGATTCGCCGCGACCCCTTGGCGCGAGGGAGGCGGAGACCACGCGCACTGTACTCGCTCTACTGTACTCGCGACAGTATCCGCACCACTCTGCACACTCTGCACCACACACACAGCTCGCTACTCTACACTCTCTCTACACTATATACTCTCTCTACTGTACTCTCCCTACTCTACACTACTCTCTCTACACTGTCTACACTCTCTACACTGTCTACACTCTCTACACTACACTCTCTACTCTCTCCACTGTATTCTCTCTACACTCTCTACACTCTCTATTCTACACACTCTACCGTAACACTCTCTACTCTACACCCTACTATCTCCTCCACATACTACGCTACACACATATCTCTACTCTTCCCACTGCACACTGCTCTCTTGTCGACTCGACATCCGACTCTCTTATTCTACACGCCGCATTACAGCCTCTGCATACGCTACACACTCATCTCCTCTCTCCTCTGCCCCACACACTCCTCACCACTCTTACACCCGTCTCTACTCTACACACTCCTCTCTACTCAACGCACCACTCTCTCTACTGCTACTCTCCGGCATCTGCACAGCTTCGCAGTCCATCTTCTCTGCACACTCCCTCGTCTGTCTCCCTGCACTCCCCCTGCTCTCTCTCGCGTGTCACAGAGAGCGCCTCCACTCCTTCCCGCAGCCTCCAGGTCGCAGAGCAGCGTCCGTCTTTGTCTCTCCCGCGCCAGTGTCTCAGTGAGTCGGTCGCGTTCACTCGACTCTTGTATTGTCGCAGCAGCTGTCACGTGCTGGTGTCGTCATAATGACTCTCACGTGCTTGTCACATAAACTGTCACGTGATTGGTTTGTCTCAACTGTCAAGGAGTTTGTATTGTCACAACTGTCTCACGTGTTAGTATTGTCACACGAACTGTCCCGTAATTGTATTATCACAACCGTTACGTTCTTGTCACAAGGATTGTCACAAGAACTATCACGCGTTAGGATTGTCACAAGAACTGTAACATTCTTGAATTGTGAGAAGAACTGTCACGTGCTTGAATTATCACAATAACTGTCACTTGCTTGAATTTTTTCAAGTAGTGCCACGTGTTAGCGTTGCCTCAATCGTTGTCACGTGCTTATTGTATTGTCACCGTAATCACTGCCACTGCACGGACTGCTTTCTGAAGCCTGTACGCAGGCTAGGGAGAGAGGCGTGTGTGTGCATGGCCTTGCATTCTTGTGCAGATTCAGACCCGCCAGGGGTGGCGTGGAATGGGTATTCCACAGGCGTGCAGAGGCATTCCTTTGGACAAATACGCAGAGTCCTCCACTGGGTTCTATTACACAACAGCAATACGTCATTATACCCGCAGTGAATGCTTTGTTAAAAGACAGATCCGCCATATAGGCTTAACGGACTTTTGGATCAAGTGCGTTTAGCGAGCGTCTATGAATACTGGTGCAGCACACGAGGGGGTGGGTGGCCAGCACCAGGCCCGGACGTCTTTATCACCCAAGTGGCGGTATTTACACATTGTACCAGGTACTCATTTGAGGCTGAATTGACCCATAACCAGTTCAGATAATCGTCACTGGTGTTGGCCAAGAGCACGAATCGAACTCAGGTCGCCAGGTTCGTAGAGTAGAGCACTGACCGCGACACTACCGCCAAAAAGGCATTCACACATACGCAGCTTGATTGTGTGATCTTGAACATGGGAGCCCAATGAGATGGACGGCCCTCCAGGTGGTGATGGAGGCTAACAGACAACGCTGATATCGCAGAGTGAGTTCCAGGAATCGGTTGAGTCGCCAAAGACACAAATTCTGGAATCGGCGCTGCAGATATTTGTGTAGTTCTCCAGTCCGCCTGTCACTATCTTGCTGGTGGGATGGTCAGGGTGAACTCCTGCTGCTCAAATGTGCGTTGAGGCATTGGTGCTCATCTTCTGTTTACAGCTCTGAGCCAGCGGTGGAAAGTTCATGTTCCTATAGCGGGGTGAGTCTATCCAAAAGGACAACCACTGTTCACTTCCCCACAAAGTGGTACTCGTTTTATGAACCCAGGAGGGACGGAAGATGGGCTGAGTCAACCATTAACCAGGACTTGAACTGGCAACTTTTTTTATTGGGAGCCGTTCGCTCTACCGCTGAGCCACCTACCTGGGCAGGCTGTTTTGGAATCTTGTTGGTCAGATGGCCCATTAGGTAACACGCCACACACACACTGAGTGCGTGCACCATCTCATCTCACAGTGAGCCGATGGCCTCCGCGCTGGCTGTGGACTCGTGCGTGGACTTCTCGGCGTGGCTGAAGGCGCAGGGCGTGAATGCCGAGGTAGCCCGGGCCATAGACTCTGAGCTCGGCATCCGCGACTACGGAGTCCTGCGCGCCTGCGTGGGCGACGGCCACGTCCGCGCCGAGCTTCTGGCCGCGGCGCGCGACCGCCTGCCCTTCGGCTTCTACGCCGTGCTGCGCCAGTTCGTGCGCTCGCTGCACCTGCCGGAGGCCGAGGGGCCGCGGTCAGAGACGGCGCTGGGCGACCTGCTGGACGTGCTGGTGGTGCTGTTCGGCGGACTCGGCCGGGAGCTGCTGCTCTCCGCGCAGAAGCTGGGGGAGTTGGACGGCGGCCGGACGACCCCGCAGACGGAGAGGTTGAGGAGCACCACGACGGAGGATAACCGCGGTGAAGCGGACGAGCGTAAACTCTCAAGTAACAGTGAGCTGTTTTAATCATGTCCACCCGGAGTCCTGTTCCAGTATTGGAAATTGATATTTGGCGCCTGTTTCTGGTTTCTCTGTATGTATGTATATGTGTGCGTTAAACTTCTTTCGCACCCCAATGTAACCAACCGTGCTAATATGAGGTGGGGGAAATGTGCTGTGGGTTTCTGAACAGACTTCAACTGTAAGGGCATTGTTGGTTTCTCTTTCTCAGTTAACTGCGCAGAGTTTGGAAACTTTGAACCCCCCTCATCGGCTCAGGCTTTCGAAGCTCCTGAGTGGACCAACCCGGGTAAGCGGCACCCATTGGTGGATTTCTATCGAGGCAGTGTAAATCACTGCGGCGCGTCGTGTATGGTTGGAGCTTATTTTAACGTATTAGCGGTACACCGTTGATGGTGCGCAGTAAAAAGAACAAAAATTTCCAATAATTATTTATTTTCCCGCAATTCGCAACCTCGGTCAGAAAATCTTGCTGGGTGGTGGTGTGTCAAAATCAGTTCTCGTGATTTCAAAGCAGTTGGAAGATGAATGTTTATGTAGTAGAGTTAACTACTCGATGTTCACAAACTGGGAGAGCAAATCGTTAACAAGGTTTTCCCGCTCAAACTAACGGTCAGGGTCTCACAAGCTGTGAGAGCTGACCGTAAACAAGGTTTTCCCGCGCGACCAAACGGTCAGGGTCAGATAGGGTGAATTGGGATCGAAGAGCAGATTGGGAACGACCAATCACAGGGTTCCACAAGGTGGCCGGGGATTGGACAACCCGGCCACGAACAAGTATAAAGCCAGAGCGCTCAGAGCTCTCGGGGAGTTCGACTACACGAAGACCCAAGACGGCGGAAGAAGCCTAGGACCCTGGACCAAGCCCTCCAGCCCTTATAAGGGCTAGGGTTCAGAGTAACCAGTGGTCGGGGAGACATCTCCCTAGGTCCAGTCAGAGGACATTGAAAGAGCGGGGTATTAAGTAGCCTGTAGGGTGCGGAGGCTTGTACGTTCTGAGTGTAACGGGTGAGGGGACCGTATACCCCTCAGTGCATAGGGACTGTGTTCATAAGACGAATAAAAGTGTGTGCTACAAAAGACGTCGAAGAGTCAGTCTGTACAACACTACATTGGCGTCAGAAGATGGAAACAAGACGAACGAACCGCACGCGAAGTCCCGATGATGCAAGCTCCGACTCACCTGTGGGTGCTGCGGGCGGCGCTGAAGATGTTGGCGTGTTGCCAGCCGCCCCACCACCAGCTGTGCAGCCGATCGCCGCGAGCGACGGCACCCAGGCTGCTCACGCCCGCCTCGCCCAGCTGCTGCATGCTGCAGCAGCCATCCTGGAGCAACTTACCCTGGGGGCTGCGGGCGGGGAGGAACGGCCGACAACGAACGTCCCCGCCATCGCAAACCCGGAAGAGGTCGTCTTTCCCGCCGACGGGTCACGTGGAGGCGGAAGCCAAGTGCATGCTGGGACCCCCGGGGGCCAATCACGACACACTGCGTCATCAGAGAGCGACGCTGCCTTTGCAGGACCCTCCAGCAACACCGCGTCATCACGGCTGCGACGCCGTACAGTACATGTTGCCGACCAAGCCATCGCTGCGTTTGGGACCGAGTCCGAGCTTGACGAAGACGACGACACAGCTGCTCTACAGCAGCGACTGCCTGTCTTTCGCGAATTCTCGTCCACAGGGGGCGACTGGGCGGCATTTCAACGTCGCTTCCTCAGCCACCAGGAGATGGTGGGCTGGTCGGATGCACAAGCACTTCGTGCACTGCCAGCCACCTTGGACGATGACACTCTCGCTGCACTCATCTCCATTCCCAAGCGACAAAGGGCGACACTACAAGCAGCACTTCAGCGGCTGTCTGATGTCTACGGACCTCCTTCCGCCACACGCCACCAGTTCTACGAGAGACGGTGCAAGCCAAGGGAGTCGCCATTGGCGTTCCGCACCGCGCTACTCGCCATGGCAAGAGCGGCTTACCCCCGCATGGACGATGAGGCTATCGACGCACTCGTCCTTCAGAAGCTGCTGGAGATGGCGAGGGGGCTGCGCCTTGTCATCCAGGCCGTGGATGACGAGGACATGTGCTCACTGCGAGCTGCCCGGAGCATTCATGCTCACTTAATGCTGGACCAGGACGAGACCATCACCGCATCAACTACGACATCGGTGCCTGCCAGCAGGGACAACGCTCGCTCTCCTGATCGAGTCTTCTCGACGTTCAGCGCGACGCCCCAGCGATCACCGGATCGCACCAGTCGCCGCAACGACTGGGAGCGGGGACGGCCCTTCCCCCGTGGCGACGCGACGTGTTTCAACTGTGGCCGCCGAGGCCACTTCTCTCCCGACTGCCGTGCACCTCGCCGCCGCTCCGCCGATGCCCGAGACCGGGACTACAGAGCTTCCAGAGCAGCGCAGCATAACCAGGCAAGTCGCGGCACCCCACACGCTCGGCCCTCATACACACCACAACACACCATTGACTCCGCTCGGAACACGGCGTATGACACGCGGCGTTTGGCCGACTCTTCGCGACCACTGCGACCCGGGCAGTGGTCAGAGCTGGCCCATAGAGTGGTTGCAGCGACGGCGGGTTCCTCGGTGGTTGTTGGTTCGATCGAGGGGGTAGAAGTGCGCGTGCTTGTCGATACCGGTGCATCGGCCACTATCATCTCCGAGTTAATTTACAACATACTGCCCGTGCGATGTCGTTCATTGGAAAAGGTTTTCGTTCCGTTTTTCGCCGTTAATGGAAGTTCCCTAGGGATTCTCGGGCAAATTCGGGCTCAAATTGCCATTGGCGATATTAAATTGGCCGGACCTGTTTTTGTGTCTTCTTCCCTTGCGGTGCCGTGCCTTCTGGGAACCGATTTTCTTGCCAAAATGCCCATTAAAATCCTTATTGATCAGGGATGTATCGAACTTCCCTCGGGCCGCCGGTTTACATTTTTAACCGCGGCCACGCATTCACGAACGGAAAATGTTTCGGTGCAGGCTTTCACGGCTTGCGCTGTACGCATTCCGCCAGGGGCACAAATGCTCGTACCCTTACGGTTAAAGAAACCGCTCGCTCCTACCGCCTCGGTAAATGGCATTTTATTGGGACCCTCCAACACAGCCGTAAACAACCTTTCATTGGTGGCCGCACAGACTCTTGTAGCGGGCGACAGGGAGCCATTTATACAAGTTTTGAATGTCGGTCTGTCAGACACCGTCATTCCACAGGGGACAGTGCTCGCTCATGCGACAGTCGCGCCCCTGGGGACCGGGATTGTCGGACACGTAACGAACGCTCAGCAACCTCGCCCTCAGAACGGTGACGAGGGGTGGATTGACGCTCTCTGCGCTGATGCCGGCGATTTATCCGGCTCACAGCAGAGTGATTTGCGGGCTCTTTTGCGGGAATTCTCGGATGTGTTCAGCAAATCACAATTTGATATTGGCTGCACCAAGCTGCTGCGTCACCATATTGATACCGGTGACTCTGCCCCTATCCGCCAAAACCCGTTTCGGCTCAGCCCTGCGGAGAAACAGCATGTAATGGGCAGTTGACGACATGCTGGTGGCTGATATAATTTCTCCTTCAAACAACCCCTGGAGTGCTCCGATAGTGCTGGTCAAAAAGCACGATGGCAGTCTTCGATTCTGTGTAGACTTTCGGCGCCTGAATAAAATTTCCGTAGCTGACGCATATCCTCTGCCACGTATGGATGAGTCATTGGATGCCCTGGCAGGGGCGCGCTATTTTTCCACTTTGGACCTTCTGTTAGGGTTTTGGCAACTCCCCCTCGACGAAGCGTCAAAGCCAAAGACTGCTTTTCGGACACCTCAGGGCCTCTTAGAGTTTAATAGATTGCCCATGGGGCTCCACTCGGCCCCAGCGACGTTTCAGAGGCTCATGGAGCTGGTCCTCGCTGGGCTCCAGTGGGACTCATGCCTGATTTATCTTGATGACGTTATTGTCTTGGTGGTCGAGATAATGCGCCCACAATGTGTTAAAATCCGTTGGGGACGACGTCGCTGGTTCGTGCACCCCTCTCGTCTGAAGCCATTAGTTGCTCCGCGCGGCTCTGCGTCACACTCAAAACACGAGGGCCGAGCGTGTGATATGCCCGACGAGCAGGATGTCACCCCGTTAGTACCTAACCCACAGCGCAGACGTGCCATTCCTCCCGCAGATGATGTGGGACTGAGGGAGCCGGGCGAGCCACGAGTCTCTGCAAAAAGGCCTCTGGGCCCATCCAACATGTTTGCCAGGATGCCCGACCCACCAAACATGTTTGCCAGGATGCCTGACCCGTCTACACCAAGAGTCTCTGCAAAGAGGCCTTCTGACCCACCCAACATGTTTGCCAGGATGCCTGACCCGCCCAACATGTTTGCCAGGCTGCCCGACCCGTCTGCTCCGAGGGTCTCCGCAGAGAGGCCTCCTGCCCCTGCTGACATTTTTGCCAGGATGCCTGGTCAGCCTGCAGCCCGGAAAAGGGCACTCATTCCCTACGACGGGCCCGCGAAATACACACGGGCTAGATCGCGTCGGTTTTCTTGATTGCCCCTTTTTTTTTGCGGCAGCTGAATGCTGCATGCGTTGTGCGTCGCGAATGTCGTTATTTGTGATTGGTTCTGACCAGGTACATATGTTGCGTTGTTGATGGGGGGGGTATTTATAGTGGGTGTTCTTGTTCTTGTTGGTTGTGGCACACACACTTTGATTCATTGATGGGGATTTTCTGCTTGTAACAGCCGGGACGGCTGAGGCTTCCGAAGGGGAGGGTGATGTAGTAGAGTTAACTACTCGATGTTCACAAACTGGGAGAGAAAATCGTTAACAAGGTTTTCCCGCTCAAACTAACGGTCAGGGTCTCACAAGCTGTGAGAGCTGACCGTAAACAAGGTTTTCCCGCGCGACCAAACGGTCAGGGTCAGATAGGGTGAATTGGGATCGAAAAGCAGATTGGGAACGACCAATCACAGGGTTCCACAAGGTGGCCGGGGATTGGACAACCCGGCCACGAACAAGTATAAAGCCAGAGCGCTCAGAGCTCTCGGAGGAGTTCGACTACACGAAGACCCAAGACGGCGGAAGAAGCCTAGGACCCTGGACCAAGCCCTCCAGCTCTTATAAGGGCTAGGGTTCAGAGTAACCAGTGGTCGGGGAGACATCTCCCTAGGTCCAGTCAGAGGACATTGAAAGAGCGGGGTATTAAGTAGCCTGTAGGGTGAGGAGGCTTGTACGTTCTGAGTGTAACGGGTGAGGGGACCGTATACCCCTCAGTGCATAGGGACTGTGTTCATAAGACGAATAAAAGTGTGTGCTACAAAATACGTCGAAGAGTCAGTCTGTACAACACTACATTTACATGAGCGGCTGAACACGAAGAAGCTCCACACTCTGTTACCGTATAGCACAAATCAACAGGGCATTGAATGCCAATACCAAATCAAATAACATGAGCATTGAAACTGCCCAAGTAATTAAAATGATAAAAATACCATGCATTGTGGGAGTAACTGATAAACTAGCCAGATGTTTGGAAAAACAAAACATCCATGTCAAATTTAGCACGGTACATAAAATACAGAAATTAATATCTGGTACAAAATATGTATTACTGAAGCTATCAACAGAAGGTGTGTGCAAGATCAACTGCACGTGTGATAAATGTTATGTTGGGCAAACAGGACGAATGATCAGCACGAGACGCAAGAACATCAGAGAAATATTGAATACTCCGAAATACAACTGTCAGCAGTAGCAGAACACACGTGCCAATAAGGACACTCGATTGATTTTGATAATGTTGAAGTTCTGTGCAAAACTAGCTACTACTGGTAAAGACTACTTAGAGAATCTATCGAAATTGAAAGAAATACAAATAATTTTAACTGTTCGGATAACTACTGCCTTAGTGCTGCGTAGAAGCGAATCATCAAATAATACATAATTTAAATGCATGCCTATAAAGGGCACCATACTTCAATAGGGATTACCGTTGGTACGGCTATTTTAATACACAATAGACAGGAAGGACAAGATCAAAGGGCTCGCATAATACACATGCATAATGTACGTTGACTCATTAACCCCCCCTACTTTGCGAAAGAGCGCAGAAGTGTGGCCACCACATCTACGCCGCTATATAAGGAACGAAACAGACTTCTACACAAATCTGTCTGTCACCTGATGAAGCTAGTTGTAATTACTGGCGAAACGCCGTACTCAGTTTATAAATGTGGTGGCTTGGCTCTCCAACACACCGGTGTGCTGTACTAGTGACGAATTGGCACGTTCTGTTTACGTGACATCCCTTACTAGTTGGTTGCGTCGGGTGGTGGCGGGTTTTAATGACACATTATATATTTACACGATCTAACCCCAAAAACCTCTATTATGGATGATATTGGTCGTGAAAGCCTACGTGTTAAATGTTTGGTTATGTTGTGGGTGTACTGGAAATGTGGATCCCTCAGTGAATGATATCAATTGGCTCCACGAAAACCATCGGTAATTGGAATTATCGTTAATCGAATATATAAAATACATGTTAAAGGGCTTAATTTGTTCCAAGACGATCGTAAGTTGACTTTTTGAATGAGCACTCTCAAGTCACCAGGGCACTGTCTGGTTGAGGTTACGTGATGAAGCCGCTTCCTTTCTGCTTGCTCAGCTGCGGGTGAAGACGACGTGCTGACCTCATCCATGGATTGCGCAAACGCAAACCACCTGTGGAACAGAATTAAGCTGGAACAAGTTGAAGCCGTTTCTTCCTACGAGTCTCTGAGAGGTAAAGCACAGAACATCGACGACGTTCTAATCTGCTTCGGTAAAGAGATGTCAGGCATTTCACGATGCGGTCTTCTTCATATGGCTGATGTCGATGTGCAACGGCTACAATTTTGAATTGAGGTTGTTCAGGTCGGATAATTGCGTTGGGAGTAATGTGCAGTGGCGAATCATTGCTGTGATGACGATGCCTCCTCGTATTTGTGGATTGGGCATTGAGTCGTCGTTATTTGTTCCACCGTCTGTTGTGGGCGACCACAGGCTCAGCACACAGCTGGAGCATTTTACTTTTTTTCGATTGTGCACGATCAAGCGTCCACATCTGCTGCCGTGGTTTGTGCAGTGGATCCTGTTTCGGGTTGTAGCTCTATAAGCTCCACGGAAGATCAAAAAAACCTAGGGATCTTCTGCGGCATCGGGTCTTTCACAAGGAGGTGTTTGGTTGTGACTTCTTGTCAACTCCATTTGGCTTTCCAAGCTTTTATCATCGTCATCATCATAATCAGGATTTAAGTTACATTCTTGCAGGTTGAGCACATGTAGCCCAAAAGGGTTTGCAGCGCGATATTAAGCGGTGGTGGTAAGGGACGTTATTGAGATGCTGGTGGGTCAGGAGACGTCCCAGTAAAGCCTCGTAAAATCTGGACTCGTTAGGTGGAGGGCAACGGGCATACTGAAAATAATGTAACATTTTGAAACCATTAATTAGAATTACATGTATACAGTTGGTAACATAGGCCAGTTGTCCTTCATAGCAAATGCTGCTATTGTGGAGGTTACATTCAGCATACCAGTGACATTTCCTTGCTTTTCACATAGAGATAGTATAACGTATAACGCAGGTTTACTATGCCTTGGTATTGTCATGCAAAAACAAAGATCCAAGTGCTTTTGGCGAGCACCTATGAAGGCCGGCACGGCACACGACGGGGTGGGTGGCCAGCACCACGCCCAGCCGCCTTTGTCTCCCAAGTGGCGATATTAACACATCGCACCAGGTGCTCAGTGGAGGCTGAGTCGACCTAGGTGAGGCCCAGAAACCAGTTCAGATAATCGTCACTGGTGTTGGTCGTGAGCAGGAATTGAGCTCAGGTCACGGGGTTCGTAGTGCAGCGTAGTGCTAACTGCTACGCTACCACGTAGTGTATTTGTGTTTTACGTTTCACCGTAATTCCTGAGGGGTGCACGATGGCTTACAACCATACACAAGGAATACATCAGCAAATCTTCACTGATCACGTGATAAATGAAGCACCTTCAATTAGCACGATTGGATACGTACGGTACGAAATAAGTTAAACGTACTTGCAGGAGGATTTCTCCACAACTCTGGCTATCGCTTGATGAAGCTGGTTGTAATTATTGGCAAAAACGTTGTACTCGAATTGTAAATGTTGTTGGTTTAAGCTCCAACACACCTTTGTGCTGAACTGGTAACTAATTGGCACATTTTGTTTACGTGACAAACATTACTTATTGGTTGTTGGGTGGTGGCGAATTTAACGACACGTTTATAAATTTCGATTTAAAGCTTTCGTGACTGCAGGGATTCATTTTCTTGGTTCTTTCGGTAAAGTCTCGTAGAAGGGAAGTAATAAAATAATAAAAATAAAACATAATAAAATAATTCTCACGACGTTTCGGCCACAACGCAAGCAGCTGTCATCAGGTCATTCTTCACCTGTGGACGGCTGCTTGCGTTGTGGCCGAAACGTCGTGAGAATTATTTCATTTTATTTTTATTACTTTATTACTTCCCTTCTACATGACTTTACCGAAAGAACCAAAAAGACACGTTTATATTTACGCGATTTAACCCAAAAACCTCTATCTCTGTGTGGAGTTTGTATCTTCTCACCCTGTTGTGGACGGTTTCCTCGGGGTTCTGTGGCTTCCTCCCAGAGCTAACAAAACACCGTACAGTGTAACTTGTATTGGCCGCAACAAACCGATTATTTAAATTTACCTGCAAATGACTCAATGGGGGAAAACACCCACAGCGAGAACAACATTGCCCCCTCCTGACAAAACTTGGCAGGCTTCCCATGAACAAACTATATATGTATGTATGTTGAACTTCTTTCTCACCGTACGTAGCTGACCGTGCTAATCGGAGGTGCGGGGGGAAGGACAACAAACTAAACACAATAAATGAGTTCTCAATCTCGATGAAGATTTAAAAGTGCATAGCTCCGGTGGCTTCCTAATATCGGAAGGAAGAGCATTCTAGACGGCCGCACAAATGCATCCGAAAGCACCGCGCGATGTGGTGACCTTCTTTGTTCAATGGGCTAACCAAAAGCCACTGCTGCTGCGAGGTGACCGGAGTTTACGTGATGATAGTTTATGCTCCTTGACGAGATCAGTGAGGTATCATGGTTCATTTGTGGCAAGCACTTTCTGTGTAAAGGAGTGCGACTTGATAATGCTGTATTCGTTCAGCAACCAGGGTTTTCATTATTATTCACAAGGGCATAAGCTGCTGGGTGTGATGGTGCCTCCGCCGGGTTTTCATGGGTAAACAAGCGGAATAACAACAACGTATTGCTACTTTTATTATTCACAAGTGCATAATAAGCCGCTGGGTGTGACGGTGCCCCAACCCCATGTCGCAGCGATGGGCGCAGAGAAGCCGTTCCCGTGCGAGGAGTGTGGCCGGAGCTTTGCCAGCCCTGCCGACCTCAAAAAGCACGCGGTGGTCCACGCGTCAGGCCGCTGGCCCCACTTGTGCGACGCCTGCGGAAAGTGCTTCTCCAAGGCATCGCACCTGACGCGCCACTGCAGGACGCACACGGGCGAGCGGCCCTACGAGTGTGACCTCTGCGGCAAGGCCTTCTCCCAGGTGCCCAACCTCAAGAGGCACCGGAGGACCCACAGCGGAGAGCCGCCCGTGGCGCCGTGCGCTGACTACGACGGGGGATTCTCGCGCGGCCCGCAGCTGGTGGCGCACCGGTGGCTGAAGCACGGCAAAGGCGGCACACCATCACCGCCGCTGCCATCAACGTCGTATGGAGACGGTAGTCGCGAGGATTAAAACGGAGACTGCCCTCCGCGCATCTTACATGTCCGCCGGCTTTCGTCAATAAAGCGCATGTCTGCATGCATCTAAAGTATTAGAAGGCGCTTGCACAGTTTTTGCAATCTGGTGGCAGATTTCCTCTTATCTGGAGATCAGCAATGTCATCAATCCCATCCACCGTGCAGAGATTAACATGACCACTGCTGGTTTCAAAGTAAATTCTGGTGCAATTCGTTCAAGGATCTCAGTGAGCCATGCACGGAGTTAAGAAATATAAATAGTGCAGAGTCCACTGGTGGCAGGGCATTCCATAGTTTTGGTGCAGCACATGCAAAGGATCGATCACCCCAGGTGCAGAGTCCAGTTCTCAGCACATGGAGCAGATGTAAATTAGCAGATCAGCGAGGTCGTGATGGTACGTGTGAGTGAATCAGCTGTTGAATGTAAAATGGCGCAAGGCCGTTTAAGGCCCTTGTATGTTAGCAGCAACACTTTAAATTGGACCCTAAATTTAATTGAAAGCCAATGCAGATATTTTATTACAGGTGTAGTGACTGTGATTGTCACTGTGGTGCCGGACTTACGAAGCCACGGCGGATAATGTGTTTGACTTGGGTGAGCGCCGGTCAGCGCGGAGGCACCACGTACAGTGTGCGATGCGGGCTCCCGGTGAAGGAGCGAGAGGGAGTGTCAGCCAGCCAGGGTTACATTGGGGCATGATACGCTGGTTGACCTGCCGACACGTGACCGGATGATATTGGAGGGGGGCCCCCGGTGGACGGGGGCCGCTGGGCCGTCACGTGGTATAAAAGAGCTCTCGGGAGCCTTCGGGAAAGAGCCTGAGAGATCTAGAAGGTGGGCGCGGCGAGGGACGGAGCCAGCCCCAGCCGAGGCCGATATAACGGGGGGCCCCGTGAGGGGCTCAGGGTTCTTCGTGTTGCTGGTGATGAAGATCCACGTCGGGTAAAATAAGCCTCTAGCCACGCGGTCCAAGACCCAGCTTGTGGTCCGGGCCAGGATAGCGAACCGTGTCTAGTTCTGCTGTAGCATGGCTAGATGGGCATTCAACACCCAAGTGTAGGTTGTGTTATGTTGAGTTACTGAAATACATTGTGTTGCTCCCAAGACAACGTCTGCGACTCGGTTGGATTCACTACACAAGGGCAATGTGCTCACGGAATGAGGTTCGCGTGAGCATCCTGGCGACTGCGTTCTGAACCAGCCTCAGTCGGCCCAAGACCTTGGCCGGATCCCCAGGTAACAAAGCCTCGCAATAATACGAGAAAAGACAAGGGTGTGCACTCGTCATTAGAGGTGAGTAGGTGACAGAATGTGACGTAAGCGGGCAGTGTTTCTAAGGTAGAAGAAGGAGATCCAGACCATCTTAGAAACGTGTGCATTGAAGGAGAGTGAATGGTCAAGCAAAACTCAAAGTTTGTTAACCACTTTCACGGGACAAGTCGGTACATTGTCAATTTCCAGTTTAAATGCCTCATAGGAAACCAGTTGTTTTGGAGGTCCGATGAGTAAAATATTGACTTTGGTTATGTTTAGATCAGGCATGTCCAAAGTCGGGCCCGCGGGCCGTTATTGGCCCGCGGTCAGATTTCATACGGCCCGCAGCTTCGGTCTTATAATGTGTTATTTATGGCTCGCTAGCTCTGTGAGAATAAATAATTCTAGATTTGACGCTTTCGTGACTGCAATGATTCATATTCTTAGGTTTTTTCGGTAAAGTCACGTAGGTAAAAAACATTAAAAAGTAAAATAAAAAATAAATAAAAATCACGACGTTTCGGAGGCAACACAAGCTTCCGTCTTCAGGTGGTACCGTCACAGCCACGACAGCTGTATCAAGTAAATGAGAGATTGCAGAAGCTACCACTCCGTTTATATAATGGTTGGAGAAGGTGGTGGGGCAAGGGCCGCATACTTTTATTAATATGGTAAGGTGAGGCTTAAGACTAAAAATAGACTGCATAACAAAGGCTGAGACTAAAAATAGACTGCACAACTACTTATTTTTTTAAGAGGAGTTGATGACAACATGAACGTGACAGAGGAGTTGCTTGACCTCAAAAGCCTTAAAAGGCAAACCAGAGGAACAGATGTATTCGTTTCTGTTTGTGAAGCTGTTGATTATATGAAACTACCATGGAGTAAAGTTTCTGGGATCATTACCGATGGTGCGCCTGCCATGGATGGTGAGCGAAGTGGATTGTCCACACTGATCTGCAATAAAGTCAGCGAAGAAGCAGGAAACGCTATTAAACTTCACTGTATCATTCACCAGCAGGATCTCTGCGCCAAACATCTCAAATTTGACGATGTTATGAAACCAGTGGCAAAGGAAATCAATTCTATTCACTCTAAAGCTCTATACCACCGACAGTTTCAGCAGTTCTTGCGTGACATCCAGGCTGAATACGGTGACGTAATATATCAACGATGTGAGGTGGCTAAGTCGGGGTCCTCACTGCAGCGATTTTTCTCTCTCAAAGAGGAAATTGGAAATTTTTTGGGTGAGAAGGGACAACCAATGGAAGAACTGTCCGATCCTGTATGGCTGGCAAATCTGGCTTTTTTGGTTGACATAACGAAGCATCTGAATGCGCTGAAAGTTAATCTTCAAGGAAAAGTTGCAGTGGTGAGCCAGCTATACGCTCACATCAAGGCCTTTGGAACCAAACTGCAACTTTTCCAAAGACACTTGTTCCAAACAGAGCCCTGCACCGCACACTTCCCAGCTTTGAAAGAGGTCATTGACAGTTTTCCACAGGACATCGGTGCGCAAATGAAGAGTTATGCAACAGCTATCGTATTTCTTTCTGTGGAATTTAACAAACGCTTTCGGGACTTTGCAGTTATTGAAAAGGACATATTGCTTTTCTCTTCTCCCTTCTCCGTGGACCCTGATGATGCTCCTTCACAGCTGCAGCTAGAGCTCATTGAGCTGCAATGTGACGATGAGTGCCGCGGAAAACACAAGCAGTGTTCTCTTGTTGACTTTTACCGGCAGCTGGACAAAAGCAGATTTCCAGAAATGCGGTCATTCGCTAAGAAAATGCTGAGCTTATTCGGCTCCACATATTTGTGTGAGCAAACATTCTCAGTTATGAACTTAAACAAGAACCGATTGAGGTCAAGGATGAGTGACTCCCACTTGAGTGATATTTTACGCATCTCAACCACTGCCCTCAAGCCAGACCTGGTCTCTTTACTGAAATCTAGATCTCAGTATCACCCTTCTCATTAGTGTCAGCAAGTTATCTGTTCCTTGATCAATCTGAAATCGAGTGTTTTGAACGGTAACATCTGTCACTATTAACAGTGAAAAGCCTAAAGCACACTAATACACTTGGACTTATGGCACTTGTTTTTATTAAACTTTTGAATACGATTTGGTTATAACTGTTGATGTTATGTACCTGTAGATGTGACACAAACTATTGCTTTCTGAAAGATCTTGTAAAAGACAAGGGCAAAATTCACTTGTTTTAAAGTTTGTAATAAAAGACTCGTACGCTTCTCTCTGTCCTGTGTCCTTTATTTGGGTTCGATCTCTTTTCCCTCACGGCACTCCCCCTTACTCTTCGCTCTGCAGCCCCAGGCTGCTATCGCTCACGTAGCCCACTTCACAGCACTCCCCTATATACTCTTCGCTCTGCAGCCCCAGGCTGCTGTCGCTCACGTAGCCCACTTCCCTCCTTGCAGACCCGCTGCTGTCTCGTCGTGCAGACTCCCCCGCTGCCGAACTCCACCCTTGCAGACCCGCTGCTCTCTCTGCAGTCTCCTCGCTGCTCCTCCAGCCCCGGGGTCGGTCACCGTTGGCCGACGGTGCCGATCCTCGGAGTGTGTGTGTGTGTGGCGATCTCGCCACTCTCTTCCCCACTCCGCCCTGGGTGGCCTCACACTTTCCCAGTCTCCGATCACTCCCTACTGCTTCCGGTTTCTCCCCTTATAGACCTGAACCCTCTCCCCCACGTGACGTAACTCCTCCCCCCATGACGTCACCTCCGGAAGGTCGTCCACGCCCGCATTACACCACCCTCCCCCGTAGAGAAAATCCAGCCGACCTCGGCTGAACACAACTCCAACAACAATGCGGGCGAACACGACCGAATATGAAAAAGGACACAGAACACACAATATTATATCGAAGAACAAGAACACAACACAATAATTAACGAAATGTGAGGGATTTTGAGCGGGTGCGGGTCGCCGGACCGTCCCGGACGGTCGGCGGCCCTCCCGCTGAACGAGAACGTGGCAGGGTTTTAAGAGCGACAGGTTGAAGTTCGTCTGTCGCTATTGGAAGCCTGGCAACGTCCCAGTCCCCCAATCTTGCCGGCGCAGCATCAGGGGCGTCCCGCAATCGCGACCGCGGCGGGGTTGGAAGGGCTGCGGGTCTCAAAGGTTCCGCAGCCGTGTTAGGCGCACCCCGAGCTGAGTCTTCTTTCCCCTGCCACGTTACGGCCGGCTCGTCTGTAAAAGGCACAACAGGCGCTCTTGCAAGGTCACCAGGCACCGGCAAAGGCGCGTCGGCAGCAACAGACCCCGGCAAGGCAATCTCAGGAGATGACGCATCAGGTCGAGGGGCCACGTATGGTTTCAACTGAGATGTGTGGACGAACCAACGCCGAGATCCAAACCGAACACGCGCCGACTGTGGGTTGGGAACCTCAATGAGGCGAACCGGCCCCTGCCATGGTTTGTGTAACTTAGGAGAGGTACCTGGCCGCACCTGTGGACAATGAAGCCAGGCCAGGTCCCCCGGTTTCCAGGGGCATTCCCCTTTTGAACGTCGTGCTCATCTTCTGTTTACAGCTCTGAGCCAGCGGTGGAAAGTTCATGTTCCTATAGCGGGGTGAGTCTATCCAAAAGGACAACCACTGTTCACTTCCCCACAAAGTGGTACTCGTTTTATGAACCCAGGAGGGACGGAAGATGGGCTGAGTCAACCATTAACCAGGACTTGAACTGGCAACTTTTTTTATTGGGAGCCGTTCGCTCTACCGCTGAGCCACCTACCTGGGCAGGCTGTTTTGGAATCTTGTTGGTCAGATGGCC